TGTGTGTCTCTTTTAACCCTCAGGACAATCGTCCATTCTCGTGGGCCTGAGTTGGGGAAAGCGTGCGCCTGGGTCGGGTGTGGATGTCCACTGAAAAGTGCGGGCTCTTACATCAATGCACATAAAATGAAAATAAAAATAAAATACTGAAAAGAAAAGAGAAGCTACATCCTGCATAGCCCAGTCTGGTCTTGACTCACTTTGTAGCGGAGGGTGATCTCGACGCCCTGCTCCACAATAAAGTTTTCTGGAGAGTTTTCCAAATCCATCTGAACCTTGATTTCAGATCCTTGACTAAGAGGTCAAGAACTCTGAAATGCTTGGTCCAGACCCCAACTCCAGGAAACAGGTAGCACATGCTACCACCTTATACACTCTGTTTACGTGAATATTAGTTTGGGGTATTCGTTTTTGAAATGGGGATCTCTCTATGCAGCTTTAGCTGGCCTGGAACTCACTGTGTAGGTCCAGCTAGCTTCAAACTCAGAGACCTGCCTCCCTCTGCCTTCTGAGTGCTGGTATTAAAGGAGTACACTACCATGCCCTCTAAATAGATATTGAATTTTCTAATTTTAAAAACAACACTTCAAGAGAGCTCAGGTATCTTTAGTCTTCGGGCTACCGATTCTCATTGCCATGGTGATAATACCTACAGAAAGTGCACTAAAGCCTTTCTTTGCTGAAGGTCAGTACCATTTGTTTGAAAGTGATGTAGCAAGCCAGACCTAGAGGCTCATGCCTTTAATCCCGGCACTTGGGAGACTGAGGCAAGTGGATCTTTGTTGGTTCAAGGCCAGCCTTGTCTACTTAGTGAGTTCCAGACCAGCCAGAGCTACAGAGTAAGATCCTGGAGGGGGTGGAGAGGCAGTGGCACTGATCAGCCTTTATGAGGAAGGGAGCCCAGGTTACCACCGTATTCTAGTTCCTCCTTTCCCTGTGTGGTCCAAGTCTGCATGCCCACTGGGCAGGAATCTCCATCATGGGTCAAAGCCAGCTACGCTAAGAGAAGATAATATCTGTTACTAATGACTGCTTGACCCTCCCTAGGAATCCTTCCCACCCTCCTACAAGCATTAGCAGAAAGCCTTATCTAGTGAGAGGTGGTGACCTGGTTGTAGCAGAGGTAATTTGAAGCCTCAGAGATAACTGGGCTCTTTTTCCGGCTCTGGACAGAGGGTACAGTTTCTGTGGAAAGTACTAGTTGGGCAGCCTCCAGAAGAGAGAGAGAGGTTCTGCTCGCTGGCCTGAGGAGAACACGCTCGTGTTAGAACAGTTTGAGGAAAGCCTGAAACAATAAACCAACAGGCAAAACCTGCTTGGAAATCTTTTGTGACTTGGATGCTCCCTGCAGGACAGGTTTTCTTCACTGTCTGGATCCGGGGCATCCCCTGGGCCTTACCCATTAGAGTGCTGGGTGCCCATGGAGAGTCTGAGATGAGGAAGGATCAATGCCAACCTGAGATGCCATAGTGCAGAGTGTTGGCATCGCTATCCCAGGAGGGGCTCTCCCCACTTTCTAGGAGATGTCTATGGCTGATTAAACCAGACACATACGGTCCAGGCCAGCACGCTTATGGCATCTTTGCCGCAAAGCAGCACAAAGTGAGCTTTTATGTTCTTCACATGATGGACGGGAAGATAGTTGACTTCTCACTCTCCACCCTACAAGATCTCTCATATATGTGTATTTGCATATATACTAATATTACAAATATTCTATTATCATTAATTATAGTTTGGTGTTAGTTGTGATAGGCTAGATAGGTGCCATCAATACATATATCCTAAAATAGTACCGATTTAATATGATAGAATTTGGTTCATGCGCCACAGTTCTGTCTGGCTGATTCTCTTAAGTTTTAGCTAACATGAGGATTCAGGATCTTCTCATCCTAAAATACCTTTATCTCCAACACTGGGGCTCAACCGTTGCCGCAGAGAGAGTTTGTGTAAGACCACACAGCAGGATTTGGAGCCAGTTCTACTACTTCTGCCATACTCCTTAGCCCAAACCCAATTGCATGGTCTCATCTTAACTATGAAGTTCACTGTGAAATGCCCTCTTATGTGTGCGTGGGGAAGGAGAAGGGAGCAGGGAAATACCATGAAGAACAAACATCCCCGTCACCTTTGTATCAGATTCAGTTCCACCAGGTCCTTGTAGGTGAGCATCAGTGCCATTTTATGAAGCTCACTAGGAGGCGGGGAGGCATTGGTGGAAGTTCTTCCCCTTGAAAGCTGGCAAGTTAGGAGTCTCCATCCTGATGATCTTTTATATGTCCCATCCCAGCCCACCCACCTGAACCCCAAAACTCCACCCTAGGTGGCTTGATCCTAACATACACACCACACACACGTGTATGAATTTGTATGTATTTGGAGTACACGAATATATAAGCATGCTCCTGTATGTATGTGTGTGTGTGTGTGTGTGTGTGTGTGTGTGTGGTTTCACATGTTTGTGCACATGTGTGTATCTGGTATATTGGCCGGTGTTTTCCTCGGTCACTCTCTACTTTATATATTGAGGAAGACTCATCATTTGAATCCAGAGCTCTTCACGTCAATTGGTCTGGCTAGTTAGCTTGCCGGGGGAGACCACCACACCTACCCAGCGTGTGCATGGGTTGCTGAGCATCCAAACTTTGGTCCTCACGCTTACAACTAGCGCTTCACCCACGGAATCATTCCCCTAGCCCCCAGTCCTATAATCGCAGTTAACCAGGGGCCTGGCCCTCTCAGAAGAAGACCTACACCTGTGAAAGTCCATCCATAGGAGACATGGTTGCACTAAAACCTTTTTATTACATTTGTTTGTTTTGTGTGGGCTGCTGCAGTGGAACACGTGTGGATCAAGGGACAACTTGAAGGAACTGGGTCGCTCCTTCCACCCAGTGAGAGTTCCCCAGCCTTTACTGCTAAGCCCTCTCTCTCACCAGCTTTACACCCTCTCCCCGTTTTTGTCTTCTAAATCGAAGAAAACATTTTGTTTCTTGGGCTTTTTAGGTGCTTGTCACTGCCTCTGCCTCAGTTGTGAGACAGGCCAAAGAGCAGGCCTGTCGGAGGGAGGGCTGGGGTACGTCCACAGAAGCATTAACATGGCATCCGTAAAAGCACACTGCTTGTAAGGGTTGGAGAAATTCAGACCAAGTAGCTAGGAGTATGATGCCCCAAGAAACAGAACATTTCATTAAAAAACAGACAAAACAAAACAACCCTAAATGTACCAGTGTACCATAACCTATTAACGAAACGGGTTTTAAGATCATTTTCGTGCATGCCAGACTTTCAAAAGATGTTTGTTTTAAAGAGTACAGTTGGCTTTTAGTCAAAGACCGAAGTTTCGGTAATGCACGATGACAATTGTGCTGTAATTATCGGCCACAAACGACCAGGTGCCCAACTCAGCCTTTTCTACTCCTGTAAGAGTGTAGCCAACCCAAAAATATGCCCTGCCTAACTATAGTCAGAAGTTCAAAAGCCCAGCCTTTGTCATCAAGGAGGAATCAACTTAAAAAGCAAAGCCATTACTCGGGACGACCAGGCACCCTGTGGTAAACACCTTTTGTTAGCGCACATTGAGAACCGAACTTTCTCACGTTCGTTAGACTCCTGCTTCTGAGAAACCTCAGACCAAGCCAGGTCTAAGGTTCTTTTCTTTTCTGCCTGACATCAGCTCTGGGAGTTGCACAATGAGGAAATACTGGCGCTGGAGTCCCATGGTTCTCCTAGCCACCATTTGCAAACACAGGTTTGTTCTCTGTTCTTTCTTGAACAGATTGCAGTAGCATCAAAGTAATGACCTTGAAGACTGTCGGGGGAAGAAAAATATACTAAGGCCTGAAATGCACTTCTTCAGTCTAAATAAGGAAGTTGTTTCCTAACCCCTGAGCCATTAAAAAGCCAGAGTAAATGTATTTAAGTTCATAAATTTTACTTAATTATGATACTACAGTAGAGTTTTGTTTCTTCCTGTTGGTGGGGAGAACGCCAACGCAACTCTTTTGTAGTTTGGTAATGATGAGGCTTTTGTGTTTGTTTTCTGTGTGCTTCTCAAAAGTGTGTGTATTCTACATGGGTGTATAATTAAATTGAATAAGGCAGCTTGTTACATGGTTGCTACAAGCCGATGTAAGCTGGAAACTGGGTCCAATAGTAGAGCAAACCTCACTCTTGCCCTTGACCCTTGTCCTGGGAAGGGTTTGAACTCCCTCAGTCAACTGGTGGACTCAAAGGGTCCCGTGCGCCTTTTCACAGGTAGCAGTGGTGGCAGCCACCTCGCTGAGCTCACGGACTGTGAGGAGCCGCACGTGTGTATTCTCTCGGCGACCTCAGTCCTTTCCAGGCTGCTGACTCTCCATTCCGCACCGAGAAAGTCAAGGGAAAGGGGGCAGGTTATTAAACCAAATTGGGTAGACTTCCCTACTTTCATAAACCGAAAAGGTCAAGCGTCAGCAAATTCATGTGCTTCCGACCACCTACTTCCCCAGTATCACAATGAATGGACCCCAATCCCCGAGGAATTTTTTGTGGTTGTGGAGGTAAGAGGTTGAGAGGGTATCTTCCTCAATCTCTCTCCATATTACTCTCTAAGACTGTCTCTCACTGAACCTGAAACTTCCTGATTCAGTGAGGCTGGCTGTTCACCATGCCCCAGGGATCCTCCCGTCTCTGCCTTTCCAGTGTGTGTGTGTGTGTGGGGGGGTGATACAGAGGGGTGCCGGGGTTCGAACTTGGGTCCTCGTGCTTCTGCAGTAAGCACTTTACCAAGAGCCATGTGCCCAGTCCCAACTCCAGAGTTTGAACTCTCAACTTTCCCAAAACAGAGAGATGCATATGTATACTCCAGATGATAGGCTGGGCTTGGAGCAAACACATAGAAACACAAAAGACACAACGCTCAGTAGATTGCTTCCTTTGGCTTCTGTGGAGTCCTCTGGTTCCAACTGCTCTCCTTGTTCAGGTCCTTGTGTAAAAGTTGACTCGAGTCAAACCGGATGGCCCTGTCTATGGCTGTCTCAGTTACATTTCGTGGCTGTGAAAAGATACCATCACCAATATGATTTTTTTTTTTAAAAAAAAAAAAAGCATTTAATTGGGAGCTAGTATATAGTTTCATTCAGATACTGGAGCTTAAGAGTTTTGATTTTTGGGTGACCCCGTTTCCAGGGAGGGGCACAGGGTATAGGATTTCTAGTGTTTGAATCAGGGAAAGTCCTGTACAAACCATGACAAGTTGCCCACCATAAGAGATGTGGTATTAGGCTCTTCGGGCTCTCTGAACAGCTGGGATCCAAACAGGCTCGTTATAACCCCAAGCTGCACAGTATTGCTCAACCACAGTTTTATCAAAATGGCTCTGCAGAGCAGCCACTTCCCCAGGCATGGGTGTGGATGTCACAGGGGAGCGACTGCCTTGTGTCTGACTCATGACTGACCAGACTCTTAGCCTCATCCACTCCAACATGTGAGAAAGTTGCTTATATGGAGTGTCTCTCCAAATGGGGCTGTGGTCTCATGTATTCATAATATGTTTGCAGGGGGAAGGTGATTGCGGCTCGGAGCGACTTCCTATAGGCCGGGAATAGAGAAGTGTGGAGCAGAGAGAGGGATCAGCAGGACACCCCATGCCCCCCGACTTCCTTTTTCAACAGTTTCCTCATTCGGAGGTTTTGAGTCCTGCAACAGTCGGTCATCCTTGGCCAACTCTGGACTTTTCCCTTAAATGTCAAACCCCTCATTTTAAAATCTTTCCTGGTTTTACTTCTCCTCCTGAGCTATTTTACTCCTGGCCCTTGGTTGTTTGGTGGTGGTTTGCTGTTTCCATGGCCTCCTCTGCTTTGTGAGCTTTGGGGTTTCCACCTAAGCCTCTAACTCCTGTGGACAGAACAAAGCAAGGGATCGGGGACACAAGGCAAAATAACGCCAAGGCTTCAGGCAAAATGTTAAGACTGGTTGAGTTATATGTATATGTGTCCATTCTCTTTCTTATAAGAAATCCTTCCTGATAATCTGAACATCCTAAACTCCAGCCTTAAACACACGCTAACTTTTTTTTTTTTTTCTGTTTGTGACAGGCTGGCTTAAATCTTCTTGAGAACGAGCTTCAACTTCCTGCCTACCTCCACTTCCTGAGTTCTAAGATTATAAATGTTTGCTGTGACGCCTAGTTTATGCTATGCTGGTGAATCGAACCCTAGGCTTTATTATTGGTAGCAGACACTACCAATTGAACCCCATCCCCAGCTCCTAAAATCTAATTATTCAATAATTTGTCATAATTGTCAACCACCACCAAAATGTCCTTAATGTCCATGTGACAGATTTACTAACCTGGCAAACTAACCTTGGATAATGGCTTCAAAAATGAGCCTCAACTGTGACCCACAGATTTAATACCCCTACGAGGCTGTCTTAACATTTTAATGAACCTAGCCCTAGGGGAGGGATTTGGAGTTGGAAGAGAGGAAGGTAGGTGGTGGAAAGTATAGTTGGTTATTTTGGGGAAGAGGTGAATGACAGGGGTTGCCAAATTTAGCAATGAAAAATACAGAGCAGCCAGCTGAATTTGACTTTCATCTAAACAACGAAGATCATCTGATACAGGTATATCCACACAGGATACTTCTTCCCAAAGTCAAATTTAACTGCGCATCTGCAACCCTATCGTCTGTGGTGTAGAGAGCCAGGATCACTGTGGAGTTTGGGACAACTTCCAAGAGTCTGGCAGGAGAAGAACAAACCCATCAGGGAATGGATCACGTGGTATAGTCGGGTGAAGTAGCTGCCCCCAAAGCCAGGCAAGCTGACGCAAGGGGGGCATCTGAGGCCGGCCTGAACGGAACGCTCCTGGAGCCCGGCCTAGCTGCAAGAAGGCAGGCATGCTCGCTCTGCTGGATCCTTCCCAGAAGGTGAAGTGTCTGGTTCCAACGGCTGAGCCCTCCGATAGCCACCGGCCTAGAACGTTATTTTTAGGCCCAAGGAAGGAGAGGCAAGGTTTTAAAAACAAGGTCACTGATAAAGGGGGGTTGCATTCCGGCAGCTCACTCCTGAAAGCAAGTTTAAGACCAGGAACCACAATTCTGGGCCTACTCCAGTCAAATCTGGAAAAGGTTAGTACTGGCAGGTTTCCATTAAAAGAAAAAAGAAAAAAGAAAGTCGGGGACCCCACTGTTTCCTTCCGCGTTTGTCACAACGAGGGTAACCAAGGTAACCGTATTAACGTCAAGAAAATCGCTTCTGTCGCCTATATCCTTTTGGTTTCCACTGATAGAGAGGCTCATTTGTTATCTACTGTGTCTGCGTTGGACACACCCCACCTATCACTTCCAGATCTATCTCTTTGGCTCTCCGCAGCGAGCTCTGAGTCTTTCCAAGGTACCTTTCTCTCCGTATTCTTCGCATTCTTCGGCCCAGCTGATGGTGGCCTTGTGCATGCTTTGGAGGGTGGAAAATCAGAGCTCCAGAACACTATTGTGTGTGTATCTGTTAAAACGCTCACGGTTGAGCCAGGTGTAGTGGTGCACAGTTTTAACCCCAGAAGTTGGGAAGCAGAAGCTGGTGAGTCTCTGTGGTGAATCTGCGGCCAGCCTGCTCCGTATAGTGAGTTTCGGGGCAACCAAAGCTACGGAGTGAGACCCTGTCTTAAAAAAAACAAAACTAACCAAAAGAAAAAAAAAATTGCTCATGGTTCAGCAACCTGATAAAAAGCTCAGTAAAATAGGAACGGATGAACACTTCAGCATGCTGGAGTAACCTCACTGCCTTGTGCTTGGTGGGGAAATACCAGAGACAGCAGCACTAACGGCCAAAGCGACAGGCATGCTCTCTGTCACGATTACTGACCAGCTAAAGACACCAGCAGTCATGGGTAAGACTCCGAGGACCTCGCAGGGTTGGGGTGTAGCTCAATGGTATTTAATGTGCAGAAGGCCCTTGGTTCAATTTATAACAATGTCCCCCCAAATTTCAAATATAAAAATGGAAAAAGAAGAAAAATGTTTTTTCATTCCTTACATGGGGTGTGACTATATGCTTTCGGACTTGAGACTCAACTGAAATTGCATAAATAGTGAGACAATTTGATAAAGTATGCAAAATGAATATATAAACACAGTTAGTCTCATATTCACAAGAGATGGCCTGTCCAAAAACAGAAAGATAGTAGCAAAAAAACAAAAAACAAAAAACAAAAAAACCTAAAAAGGAAAGTGCCTAGAAATAGATCTAACCGGAAATGCGCAGTCTTAGCTGAAGAAAACTTTAAAAGAGAAACCAAAGGGCTCAAAAGGTTTCGAATGACTGGACAGATATGCATGAATAAGAAGTATTTTAATGTTTAAAATATCACCTTTCTTTAAGTGACTATTTGAACATGATCCCAATTAAAATGCCAACTTATTATCCTTTTATATTTGACAAGATGATTTTTTTAAATATATTTTTAGAATCAGGGGGACAATAGTAATAAATATTTTGGTTTAGGTTTTGGGTTTTTTTGTTTGTTTGTTTTGTTTTGTTTTGTTTTGTTTTTTGAGACAGGGTTTCTCTGTATAACCCTGGCTGTCCTGGAACTCACTCTGTAGGCCAGGTCAGCCTTGAACTCCCAGTGATTCACCTGCCTCTGCGCCCCCACTACTGGCTACCAGAAGTATTCTGAGTGTTAAAAGTCTCTTTTCTGCTCCCAGGGACCACAGTCTTTAAGTATACTGCAGACTGTGGATACTAGTTTTCTTGTCTGTTTAAGGATATGGGAACCTTATTTCCTGCCTTACCTATTTTTGCATTGTGAGAAAAATCGTGTTTTGAAAGGTTCATGCAGCTCAAATTCCAAAAGCTATTTTAAAAATAGATTTTCAATTTTGGGGCTAGAGAAGTCACTGAGTTTAAAGTGTCTGGCTGTAAAAGGCCCAAGACCCTAGGTGCAGTCCTCAGCACCATACAAGATAAACAAATAAATTCAATTTCATGAAACTTTAGAATCATAAAGTTAAAAGGCATACTAGAGAAAGTGTCTTCAGCTCATATCTTAGACAAAGCACTAATTTCTTTTGTATTAAAAACACTGCTAGAAATATTGTAAGATTTAATTTCCTTTGTATACAAAACATTACCAGAAATAAATGAGATTAAAATTTGGCAATTCAATAGAAAAATGAGCAATAAGTATTGATACATCTATTGATATATTTTAAAATCTGTCTTGTAGGACTACAAATTAATACTATTCTTTGGGAGGCAATTTTGCAAGATGCATTAAATGAATAAGCACCCTTGCCTCAAACCTATAACTACTTCACTATCCTAATGCGCTTGACACAGTAACTATCTTGATTTCACCATTGTACTGTGTGTGTGTGTGCTATAATGTCACATTGTATCCATAAATACATACTGCTAATATTCACCAATTAAATCTTTAATTTAAAAATGACCACAAAACAAAGCCATTCATGAAATGCATTACTTACAGCACCAACACTCTGAGCAACACAACATGCAGTAATACAAAATCGGTCCACTGAATCATAATTCATCAGAGTAATGAAATATTATCCAGCGATACAGATGAAACCTATGGAAAGAGACCGAAGATGTACTACGTAGCAGCCTAAAGTGAAGGTCCTCATAAATATAATTCAGAATTTGGTAACACTGGACTGGGGGCGAAGCTCAGACAGAAGTGAATACCTGTCAAGGCATGAGGTCCCAGGTTCAAAGCCGAGCACTGAAAACAGAACCTCTCTTTGGGTCGGCAAAACGGTTCTACAAAAGGTGCTTGCTACTAAACATGACATCCCCAGTTTAATCCCCGGGACTCACGTGGGAGAAGGAGAAAACAGAGTCCGCTGACCCCCAGGTCATCTCTGGCCTCCATATTCATGCTGTAGCACCTGCAGACATGCATACTAAATAAATAAATAATGTAATAATATATTTTTTTTTAATTTTGGTAACATTGGTAAGATATTTTAAGTCAAAAAACACAAGGAGTGCAGCAGTGTGCACTGAGCTGCCTTCTCTATGTACAGGAAAATATTATTAGCACTTTTATATACATTCCAAAGAGCAGTCATGGTGAAGGGAAGAAAAGGGAGGCAAGCCAGAGGATGAAAAATGCATGGAAGCCTTTTGAGAGGTGCTCACCTTTAATCCTAGCACTTGGGAGGCAGAGGCAATAGAATCTCTGTGAGTTCGAGGCTAGGCCAGTCTTCACAGTGAGTTCCAAGCCAGTCAGGGCAACATAGAGAAAATCTGGTTTAAGAAAAAGACCATCTCTAACTCCAGACTTAGTTCCTTCATATCAGAACATTGTGTAGCAGGTAGGAAAATGAGGTTCTGTAAATATTCATTAACAAAAGGCTACACAAGCTTAGCTACCCAGAGTCTTCATTTCCACTAAATGCCTAGGGCTCTTGCCAACCAGTTGTTGATATTTTACAGTGTTTGCTTGAATCAAACGCCGCAAAATCTTGTTTCCACAACAGCCTCCCCCACGTCCGTACAGAGCAGCAGGCCGGCACTTGCTCTTGTGATTGTTCGTGCGGGTAACCAGCATCCAGGCCATCCCTACAAAGTGAACCCGGGTGAGAGGGACAACAGCTTTGAACTCTTGAGAAGTCGAACTTTAGCCAACTCCCTTGTTTCGAGCTTGAAGAATCTCTGAGTATCTCGAGCTCAGTTGAGTACTTTGTTTTGAAAATTTTGAAATGTATCTGTATGTATAGGTCTGTGTTTGTCTGTGCGTATGTGCACACATGCCTGTGGGTGCCTGCAGAGGCCACAAGAGCGTGACAGATCCTCAAGGACTTGGAGTTGTTACAAGTACTTGTGTGCTGACCCACGTGGGTGCTGGGAATGGAACTCAGGTCCTCTGCAAGAAGAGCATTGCCTTTAATTATTGGGTGACCTCTCTAACCCCCAAAGGGCACTTCTTTTCGTTATGTCAAAAAACATACATGTATTAAAACACACACACGCGACTAAATATTTTGCACTTAGGGATTAGCAGTAGCCTAGAGTTAGATTAATATTTTTCACAGAATAAGATTTTATTCCCCTTTCCTATTCATTGTGTTGGTGTGTCTCTGTGTATATGTGTATGCACATATGTGTATGCACGTATGTGTAGGCATTTGTGTGTCATGACTTGCAAATGGAGGTCAGAGGACAACTTTTGGCCACCAGTTCTCTCCTGCGACACAGGTCCCAGGGCTGAAACTACATTGGTCAGTCTGACAGCAAGCACGTTCACCTGGTGAGCCATCTCACCGGCCCGAATTCGGGTTTCAAACAGTCATGTCAGGACAGACTGCTCTTCCTCATCACAAGTAACTTCAAATGCATTCTTAGCCTCCTGACAACTCCCATTTTATAGTTCAGTGAGATGGGGCAACGTTCCCAGGATCACACAGCAGTTAAGGAACTAAATCCAGATCTGCCGGACCCTAGAACTTGCATTCTCTGCAGCACAGCCTCCAGCAGGACTTCTGAAAACATAGGTGGACAGAGCTGGAGAGATGGCTCTGCCGTTAAGACCACTGGCTGCTCTTCCAGAGGACCTGGGTTGGGTTCCCACCACCCCATGGCAGCTCACAACCGTCTGTAACTCTCCAGTCCTGGGGGATCTGAAACCTTCCTCTGGCCTCCTCAGGCATCAGGCATGCACATGGTGCACAGACATACATGTAGGCAAATAATAAATAAATAAATGAATAAATGAATGAATGAATGAATAAATAAATGAATAAATGAATGAATGAATGAATAATATGTATATGCATATATAGCGATGCAAACGAAATACATTTTGTAAAGAGCTGCTTGGGTACAATTTCCATTTGAATGTTAAAGCTTCAGTTGCCTCACAGAGAATGTCTTAGAGATAATCACACAGTATGTGTAAATACAATGTGTTTCTGAGGTCCGTGTTACTTATCAGATGACCATGGGTCCCATTAGCACCAGTCATTACCTACCTTACATTAAAAGCAGTTGTGATTTCCTCCCCCTCCCCCATTATATTTATTTGGCTTTTATCCTCAAAATTTCTTGGGACTTCATCTTTTCTTTTAACTGCTCTGCTCCATACCTCTTGAGTAGCCATTTCAATTGTGTTATGTCTTTAAAGGCACTATAGAATTTCAACATTATTCTAGTTTTTTTTTAAAGGTACCTGATTATCCTTTTGTGTTTGTATGTGTTCATGCCCCTCACCCCCACCCCCGTGTGTGTGTTTGTGTGTGACCATCTCTACCTTGTCCTCGGAGACGTGGTCTCTCTCGAAACTCATTGGGTCAACCAAACTAGCCAGCCAGCAAACCCCGGCGGGCCTCCTGCTTCGGCCTCTTCAGTGCTAGGATTACAGGTGCATTTGCTGCCCCCAGTAAACCAAGCCAAGGCTCGAACTTGCAGCCTCAGGCTTGCACGGCAAGCACTTTACCCACAGAGCCAGCCACATTGCTGTGTCCCCACTTAAATGTGCTCTTTGACCTTTTCTACCTGAACCTTCCAGGAAAGTCTATTTTTTTTCTTTTTCCTCTGTGTTTATCTGTTTATTTTGAGAAAAGGTCTTAACATTTAGGCCAAGCAGGTCTGGGGTTTGTCGTCCACTCTTGCTTTAACCTACTGAGTGTTGGACTTACAGACATACTCCACCATGCCTAGCCGAGGCAGGAGCTCTTTGGTGAATTACCAATTCATAGTGCACTCAGAGCAGATGCAAATATGACAGTTCAGATATGAAACAGATCCTTCGTAAAAGAGATAGTTGGAGCAAAGTGCCCTAACCCAATGTGGTATTGACTAGAAGCTGGCCTTGGAGACTTTGGACCGTGCGTGCGCTCAGACGGTGAAGTTTGAATCATACTCCTTTGAGTGATAATCTTCAAATTCACCCATGAACTACTAACAATCAGATACATAAAAAATTTCCCTTTTATGTATTTGCAGACTCGGGTCAGCGGCAGAAGGTGATAAGCAGCCATCAAGGCGGTAGTAGAGGAAACAGGATTCTTCAGCTCTCCCAACAGGGTTTCTTTTGCTTGCCTAGTGGAGTTCCCCTTCCTATGCCCACCTCAAAAATAAATAAATAAATGCACCCAGAGAAAAAGAAAAGGAAATAAAGGTAAATTTATGAGCATCTTAATTTGAATTTCAAATATGAAAAACACAGCTATTATAGCTTTATTATCCAGTAGTGTAGAATTATGTTTCACCCTTCAAATTATGCCATATACTAAAGGGTCAGGAGCAAAATTATGGTATAGATCACATGGTGTTTAATTATTCACAAAGCACTGGGGAGGTATTTCATGGCCTAGCCTGATCCAGTGAAAAGAGCAAAGGTTTTTGGACCGAGCTAACCTAGGATTGCACAGGTTAGCCTTGGATCTTTAGCTGAATGATGGAATCATATAACTCTGTGACCTTGACCAAGTTTCCTGATCAAACTGAACCAGGCTTTATCACCTGGAAATGGTCCTTGTGAAGATTAGCAACAGAGGGAACACCACAGGCACAGGAAACAGCTGTACCCACGGTGCCCAAGAAAGCCAGTCTCCTGCCGACCCTTCCCACCGCAAAAACAACTTCGCTGAGTCATATGGAGTTTGAGAAGATCAGCTCTTTGTATCTGACCTGCCAACCTCACCGGGCAACCGAAAAGACATATTTACTACTGCTCATAATTCAGGCTCCCCAATAGCCTGGGTTGGGGTGAATTTCAGGAGGAAATGCCTCCATAATGTTCCTTTTTAGAAGAGTAAAAAGCAAAACAAAGCAAAACCAGCAAGAGAGAACATCTACCCTGTCAGGATGTTGTCACAGAGCACAGCTGTCCGTTGTAAGTTGGACAGCGTCTTACTTTGTAACCAGCCTAGCCTCCAGCTTGTCTTCGTCCAGGCTCAGCCCAAGACCTGGCAGATGGACGTCACCAAGCCAGGTTCACTGAACACCTACCCATCTAGTCAATATTTAAAGCCTTTCAAGAAAGACAGAACCAGGCCTGCTAGATGGCTCAGAATGTAAAAGTGCTTGCCACCAAGCCTGACAACCTGAGTTTGACCCCCAGAAGGAGAACTGACTTCTGAAAGTTGTCATCTGGTCTCATGTGCTGTGTGGTGTGAACACACGCATGCCCAATAAGTAAAAATGCAGAAAGGATAATACTGGCGTGGTGCTGTTGAGTACTTAGCAGATACTTTGAACCAGTCTGATAAAAACTGCTCACTATAAGAACAAAGAGTTCAAGAGAGATTAGTTAAGAAAAAAAAAAAAAGAAGAAATAGGTAATAGGAGCAGTTTTTTTAAAAAATACCATTCAGGAGACTGGAGAGATGGCTTCAAGGTTAACAGTACTTCCTGCTCTTCCAGAAGACCCAAGTTTAATTCCCAGCACCCACAGGGTGGTTCACTACTGTTTGTAACTCCAGTTCCAGGGATTCTGACACCCTTTCCTTGGTCTCCCCCAACCGTGCCTGACCATAGTGTATAGACATCCATGCAGGTAAAACATCCATATACATGAGATAAAGGCAGCTCAGTGAGCTTGGGCAAATGGTTCAGTAAGTAAGTAAGATATCTCTAGGCTATCTCTGAGCATGAGGATGTGAGTTCAAATCCCCAGAGCCCATTTAAAAAAAAAAAGCCCAGTACTGCAGCATATATCTGTAACCCTGGTGCTAGAAGGTGGGGTGAAGGAAGGAATTCCTGGAACTCACTGGCTAGCCAGGCTAACCCGACCAGTGAACTCTAGGTTTAGAGGTTCTGCCTCAACCAATCAGGTAGAGTGACAGAGGAAGACATTCAACATCAACCTCAGGCCTCCATAGGCATGTGCACACAAGTGCAGAAATACCTGAACACATATGTACATACACATGAACACATACACATCTATGCACTACACACACACACACACACACACACACACACACGTACGCACGCACACACGCATGCATACGATGAATGAGCCCATGATAGCAGAGGACTTTCTTTGTTTTGGTACAGAATATTAAATCCAGAGTCTTATACATGTTAGGCACATGCTCTTTCCCTGAGCCACACCTCAGCTACACAGAAAATGCTGCCAAGCTGGGTGGTGGTGGCCCAGTAATCAGGAAGCAGAGGCAGGCAGATACCTGTGAGTTCAAGTACAGCCTGGTCTACAGAGCGAGTTCCAGGACAGGCTCCAAAGTTAAACAGAAACCCTGTCTCAAAAACAAAAAGGAAAAAGAAAAGAAAAGAAAGTGCTGCTAGTTTGAAAAGAAAACCTTTCCTTTTGGTAGCTTCTATTTTCAAAATCTAGATTTACATAAAGATGCATGTTTTATATTCCCTGGACTTTTTATACCATCTTATCAATAGTTCATGATACTCTCTTATTAAAACTTCTCCTTAGGTTTCTAACAACAGGTTCATTTTATTATTTACCTTTATTTTCTGTGTATGAGTATTTGCCTCCATATATGTATGTGTGCTTTGCTTGTCCCTGGCGCCCTCAGAGGCCAGAAGAGGGTGTCATATCCCTGGGAACTGGAGTCGCGGACAGCTGTGAGCTGCTGTCTGTGCTGGGAGCTGGACTGGAGCCTCTGAAGGAGCCACAAGTGTGCTACACTGCTCTGCCATCTCTCCAGCCCCAACCGTGGTTGGCTGGTTTTACTTTGAGGCAAGATCTATGTAGTCCTGGTTGGCTTGTAACTAGCTGTGTAGACTAGCTGTGTAGACCAGGCTGGTCTTGACCTCATAGAGAGCCACCTGCCTTTGCTTCTTGAGTGCTGGGATTCTTAAAAGCACCATACCACCACGCTCAGGCCACCAGATGCAGCTTTTAATAATGAAACACTATAGGAATGCAGTCCCTTCTCTCAGTCAATATACAGAAAAGATTATGTTATACATTGGCATTACTGTACTATGGAAAGAAAGCCACATCTTGGAAACTAAAACCATAGTTTAGATACATAGATATATGTGTGATGTTTGAGTATATAGTCTTTAAAAATGTCTATACCAGGTAGTCTTTTTAAGGGCAGAGAGGAATTTGAACTCTGACACATTCCCGGTAGGAATGTAAGTTGAAACAGCATGGAAAAAGGTTTGATGCATTCTTCCAGAGCCGAAAATACTCATATCATCAAGATATTTACCCCAATCCAGTGACGTGTTTGTTCAAGTCAAGATTTGTACATGAATGTTTTATATAGAGTTGGAAGCCTTAGTTGTAATTTAAACACACGGAAATAACCCAGTGTCTGTCAACAGGTGAACAGATAAACACACGGTGACACACTCACGCAGTGGAATACATGAGGAAAGGGTTTACTACTGATGTATGCAGTGGCACGGCTGTCTCTCATGCTGTGGAGAGAGAACCCTGATTAAAGAGAGGCCGTATTAGATGATGCTATTTATGGTCCTCTAGAAGAGCAACACAAACTGAGTTACCTAAAGTAGGAAAGTAGGCAAGAAGAAGCAGGATTAAAACTGAGCCCAAAGGCCAGGTGATGTGTCGCATGCCTTTAATCCCAGCACTCAGGGAGGCAGAGGCAGGAGGATCTCTGTGGGTTTGAGGCCAGCCTGGACTACAAGAGCTAGTTAGTTCCAGGACAGGATCCAAAGCAAAAAAAAAAAAGAACACACCTCTGGAATGCCGAATGATTTATTATCTTTGATTGTGGTAATTGTGGCTTTATTAGTGTGTGTAGTATGTAGGTGTGTACTTACAAATTATATATTTTAAATATGAGTCATTTATTGTATTTCAGATATACCTCAGTAAAACCTTTTAAAAAAAAAGAGAGAAAGAAAAGTATCTTGCATAGGTAAGGCCCTGAGCTCAATTCCTAGAACTTCCCAAGAAGGAAAGAAGGAAGGAAATTATGTCAACTTTGCATAAAATAAAATTTATTTTTAAAAAGCCCCATCCCTCTGTCATGAGGATGAATATTCCTAATTTTATTACCATAGGCAATTGTGATGCTTTATTTCTGGACTGTTGGGCCTTAAAAGTAAGATCTATATTTAGCTCAAGTCCCTTAAACCCAACCCTATCCCCACCAACAGGCTACTACTCACTAAATATTCAACTTGGTTTTTTTTTGTGATTGATAAATTAATTGGATACATTTTTGATAAAACTATTTGAACAGTGCTAGACAACTTTCCACACTAACCTTGCAATAGTTTGAAACATCCTCAGTTCACAGTCATTATCACACTTAGGAACGTTAGTGGGACAGGTTGTCCCAGGCCTGTAATCCCAGCCCTTGGAAGGCAGAGACAGGAGGATCGTTACAAATAGAGGCCAGCCTGCGCTAAGAAGCCAGACTCTGTCTCAGAGACAAAAACAGACAAGAAGTAGAAGGCAGTGTGTAGTTGGTTGTTTTACTCTTTTGGCCTTTTGGGGGGAGCCCGCCACTCTGCTCCCAAATAAATCACACACAGAGATTTATTATTACTTATAAATTCCTGGTCTTAGCTTGGTTGGTTTCTAGACAACTTTTCTTAAATTATCCCATCTATCTTTTGCTTCTGGGCTTTTATCTTTCTCCATGTCTGTATACTTGTTTTTCTGCGGCTTGCTGTAGAGCAGCTAAATGGCTGACCCCTGAAGTCTTCTCCTTCTCTGACCTCTGGTCCGCTCAGAGTTCTCCTTCTGTTTACTCTCTGCCTGCCGGCCCCGCCTATCCTTGCTCCGGCCTTGCTATTGGCCAGTCGGCTCTTTAGAACATCAGGTGTTTTAGACAGGCAAAGAACCACAGCTGCACAGAGTCAAACAAAAGCAATATAAACAAAAGCTGCACATCTTTACATTGTTAAACAAATGTTCCGGAGCGTAAACAGAAGTAACACACCTTAAAATAATAGTCTACAACCACAGTGGCGCTCAGCTTCTTACTGCCTGAGTGCAGAAAAAAAAAAAAAAAGACTGTAGGCCTCAATTTCCTCAGTTCTTAAAAGAGAGAGAGAGAGAGAGAGAGAGAGAGAGAGAGAGAGAGAGAGAGGTATCTTATTTGTGTGTAAGTGTGTGTATGCACACACATGTGTTTACATGTGTGTGCTTGTGTAGAGGTCACTTGCAGGAGTCAATTCATTTCTTCCAACATGTGGGTCCTGGGAACTGAGCTCAGGGTATCAGGGTTGGCAGCTGTAGACAGAGGTTTCTGTCCCACCTGGTCCTGCAGTCGTTCAGTCCCAAAGAATCACAGAGGTCTACATTAATTATAAACTGGTTGTCCTATTAGCTTCTTAATAACTCTTGTAACTTATATTAGCCCATAATTCTTGTCTGTGTTAGCCACGCAGCTCGGTACCTTTTTCAACGAGGCAGAGGCAGTCACATCCTGCTTCCTCTGTGTCTGGATGATGACTGCAAACTGAATCTTACCTCTTTCCAGGATTCTCCTGTTCTCCTTGTCCTGCCTATACCTCCTGCCTGGCTACTGGCCAATCAGCATTTATTTAAAATACAGGTGACCGGGTTTAGACCATTGTCCTACAGAAGGCAGCAGGCACCTCCACCCACTGAGTCTTCTAACTCACCCTCCTCGGTTGTTAAGAGGGTAATAATATACCCATGCCATTTTCTCTCTTTTTGAGAACTCAAAATGACCCAATTCATACAAAGCACTTGGCCCCAGTGATCAAGAAATATTCTTTTTTATTTTAGATTGTTATTACTATTCATAAATCCAATATGTTTTTGGCTATTTCCTTGGTTTCTTTCTTTGTCTCTTCCTTCTTTCTTTCCTTCCTTCATTTTTTTTTTTACTTTGTTTCCTGTTTGTTTTTCAAGACAGAATTTCTCTATGTATCCCTGGCTGTCCTGGAACTCGCTCTGTAGATCAGGCTGGCCTTGAACTCGGGGAGATCTCAGAGGCCTGACTCTGCCTTCCAAGTGTTGGGACTAAAGGCATGGGCCACCACTGCCTGGCATGTTCAATATGTTATAAAAGGAATCCTTAAATTTTCTAAAAAAACCTGTCAACATACATAGTAAACACCCAATGGATGTTAGAAGGGAAAACCTTCTATCCTCTTGTTCAGTTGTAAGTGACTTAATCCACGTCCAGCATAAACATTTTAGTTTATGAACTCCGCAGACAGACATACCCCATCTTACATTAGGAGAGAGAAATCATGACAGACAGTGACCTGAGCCTTCC